ACGACTTGCCTAAAATAAAATCTATATATAAAACAGTTCAAGCATATCACAATGCAAGTTTAAACATTTAACCTAGATAAATGTGCACTGTTAGGCACTATATTGCCCAAAGTATTGGGAAAACTAAAAAAAAAACTCATCGCCAAACACCAATGATTTGTACATATGCGTACAATCATCTTAGACACTTCCAAAACTGTGGCAGCTAAATGTGACTATTAGCTTAACAGCTGTATTCCTTGTTTGCTAGCTACCTATATGCACATAAAGTATACAATGTTAAATATGTTCTACATTATGAACCTTAACCCAAAAACCTTTAGCTTCATACACTGTAGATAATTGTGACCCTGCCTGTGGAAAGCCAGCTAAAGTATTTTTTTAAAACAGTGGATGAGTAATTCACTCATTGATTTGCTTAATTAAAGCCTCCTTTGAGATCGTTTTGACAGAGATGTTTATTGTGTATTATTTTCAACGTGTTTATTGCTAAGTTTATTGTGGCAAAATAGAAGCGCAGCCGTAATTCGTGAGCAGCAGGGTTGCCAGGTTTTCACAAGAAAACCCGCCCAATCGCTACTTAAAACTAACCCAAAACTAGCCCAATCGCATTTCGAGGGAGTACCCAGTTAAAAATCGCTTCTGGGGGGTAAAGTACACATTTTTTGGTGGGGTTCCCCTGCTAAAATTGACATTCCAGGGGCTAAATATCACGTTATTGGAGTCGCTTCAACCCGTGGACATGAAAAACAACAGTGTTAAAATAGCCCAATTCCGCGGGAAAACCGCAGACTTGGCAACATTGGTGAGCAGTGTATCTGGTTGCCATGACAACCTCATGCGCTTCACATCTGGAAAAAGGGGGGTCGTCTTATAATCAGGGTCGTCTTATATTCGGGCCAATACGGTACATGTCATGCAGTGTTACGGCTCAGTGTGTTCTTTTTTTAATATTTGTCCACTTGGTGGTGGTGTTCCGTGGTTTTGCCTCTCTTTCAGAGCGAGCGTCAGGTACTGGTGTGGCGTGTTACCTGTGACTGCCGTTTGGGTTTAAAAGACGGAGATTCAGAGAGCAGTGTGTGTTCTGGACTGGGCCGCTGTTCATCTTCCCTCTCCAGCCCTGGATTGTTTTCTTTTTGTTTTCTTCTTTCTCTATACTTATACTTTATTTTTGTATTGTTTGATTTATTCTTGATTAAATGTTTATTTGTTAAACTTAGTCTTCTGTGTGGCCTCCCCTTTTGGTAATGTTACTTCACTCAGAGCCAGGTGGTTGTAACATTATGGGGGCTCGTCTATAAGCTCAGTAAGTTTTGGTAAATTATTTGGTTTGAGAGATAATTGAATGAGTTTGATTAATATGTAATATTTAGATTATTTTTGGGGAGAGTTTGCATAATGCCACATTGAAAGTTTGGATTTTGATTTGGATAATTTTGCTGGGACTGGAGAGGAAAGAATTGTTCTTCAATCAAGGAATTGAGGCTTTGATTGTGGATTAAGCTCTTTTGTACATGACTTGCACTCTAATTGCCAAGAAGTGTAAGTGAGACGGGTCAGACCGTCAGAACCACATTTTAAGTGCCGGCGATGCAGTGTTGCCAGATATTGATACTAAAACAAACTAAAAATAAATAAAAATAAACAGAAATTATTTCTAATCTTTTGCAAATAAGATAAGATAAAGATATCGCTGACTCTAAACTGCAACTTCCTACTTTATTAACTTTCTAAAGTGTTCAATTAAGTGGAAAAGATGAGTCCAAAATGCTTATAATAGCTGGATCTGTTACGGGCTGCGCCCGTGCCCTCACTCACAACTCTATTAAACTTAGTCTTCTGTGTGGCCTCCCCTTTTGGTAATGTTACTTCACTCAGAGCCAGGTGGTTGTAACATTATGGGGGCTCGTCTATAAGCTCAGTAAGTTTTGGTAAATTATTTGGTTTGAGAGATAATTGAATGAGTTTGATTAATATGTAATATTTAGATTATTTTTGGGGAGAGTTTGCATAATGCCACATTGAAAGTTTGGATTTTGATTTGGATAATTTTGCTGGGACTGGAGAGGAAAGAATTGTTCTTCAATCAAGGAATTGAGGCTTTGATTGTGGATTAAGCTCTTTTGTACATGACTTGCACTCTAATTGCCAAGAAGTGTAAGTGAGACGGGTCAGACCGTCAGAACCACATGAACTCCCATGTTAGGCTGTAGAGCAGTAACGCTGTGTTTTATTTTAGTTTGTTGTTTTTAGTACGTCGGACGCGGGTAGACGGATTAGCCGTTGAGCTGCATGTGGGCGTACTGAAGACTAGGGTTGAGTTTATTTAGTTGATTTCTTAGATACGGGACGGCTCTTAATTTCTTCTGGCATTATAGTGCTGTCTACTTGGCTTTGGTCTATGTTTACTTAATCTGCCTCTGGTCTGTGCATTTAAAGGGACTTGGTAAGTGAGAATGGCAATTCCATTTATTCATTTTAGCTTTGAGAAAAGAGATGAAATGAGTATAGTGAAGTTTAGATAAAATGGATAAGTTACAGGATTTTTTGGCTTCTCCTACTGTAGAGAAATTGAATGGACTTAAAAAAGATCAATTGAGTAAAGTAGTTGAGCATTTTAATTTTGAGGTAGGGGAAATCAAATATCTAAAATTAAAAACTTTTTGTGATCTTGTAAAAGAGAAATTAGTAGAGAGAATGATTTTAACTGTAGATACACAATTTGAAGAAGCGTTGTCACCAGAAGGTACTTCAACTCCACCTGTTATGACGGGAAGTGGATTAACCTTTGAGCAACAGCTAGAAATCTTAAATCTGCAAAGTAAGGAACGCAAATTCGATAGACAGCTTGAATTAGAGAAAATGCGGGTTCAAGAACGAGAGCGTGTACGGCAATTTGAGTGTTTAAGTTTAAGTGTGAACAAAAACTTCAGGAAGCTAAATTAGCTCAGGAGGCAGAACGTTTAAGACTGATTGCCGAGGGGAAAATAGGTCGTATTAGTGTTGATTCCTCGGGTGAGCAGTTGGTTGCGAACACAGCTTTGAACATTGTGAATATGACCAAGTTATTGCCTAGGTTTAATGAAAAAAATCTAGATGCTTTCTTATCTTTGTTTGAAAGTGTTGCCGATGATCGAGGTTGGAATGATGCCGAATATACTCTTTTATTACAAAGTGTTTTGGAGGGTAAAGCTCAAGAAGCATTTATTTCACTCTTACCAGCAGATCGAAGGGATTATAAGATTGTTAAAGACGCAGTTTTAAAAGCTTATGAACTTGTCCCTGAAGCTTACCG